TTTCCCTTTTCTGTTTTGGAAGAATTATTGCACATGGTGACAAAGCTGCAAAACTCAGCGGAGGTAGAGAATGAATTGCAGTTGTTGAGGCTCTTTGAAGACCTCATAAATCTCTGCTGCCATTCTGGACTAGATACCACAGAAGGGAGATGCCTCTGGTGGTTCTGATTCTCATAGCTTTGTTTTCAGCTTTGTAATCATAGGGCACCTGCCTTTGTGTTCATAGAGCTTTGAAAATTGCCAGGTGCATTTATAGCTGTGGTTTTGGCCTTGTTCTGCCAAATGTGACTAATTGATTGCACTGTATCTTTTCCCCTCCCTCCTGTTATGTCCGTTCTTGGTTTGATACAAGTAGAGACTAGTTTGTTTTCCCTTCTATTAGTGAGTTAGAGGCAAAAAGCTGTGTTTTACCAGGTCAGTGTGAAGCTAGAACACCTATAACTGTCTGATGGTCACCTTTTCTGATCAGAAATGTACTAATATGGTCACAAGGGCTAGTCCTTCCACAATGCACCCTTCTGAATGTTATGTTAAAAACCCTAACCACGTACTTGCTTTTAGAAAAAATTCCTTGACATACCATGCCTGCCACTGGCTTCTGTGGTGTCATAACTAGTAAACAAGCTTGGAAAAGCTTACAGAGTAGCTCTAGTAACATTGGCAAACAAGCAACTGTCACAGCGCTAAAGCAGCAAGCTTTAGCAACCCCTAAATGTAGGGTTTGAAGTGTGAGCTTGTAAATGGTGTTCATGTCACTCTGCCGCTTACGTCAGCTAGGAGCGCCATAAAGCAGCTCAGATCCCCGGGAAGAATGACCTATAATTAGCCTAATTGGCCACTGGATGTCAGTATCTTGCCACAGAAATGGAACTGCAAGAAGCCTGGCCTTTCGGGTTGCAGAGACGGTGGTTATTCAAGCTGATTTTTTTCTCCCTAGTAATCGCTTCAGTCATAAAATACCAATTGTACTCCCCCACCCCAATCAATGTCTTGTGAAATAGGGCTTGAGATAATAACTATGTAGTATTTGAACGGCCCATAAAACTTTTGAAATTTATCTTAGCATCAAATTAAGATATGCTGCTGAGGAGATTAGAAATAAGGAAAAAATCGCAGTTGGAGAAATTACTGAGTTGATTTAGAGCTGTTTTGTATGTATACACTGAATTTGTTTGCTTTGACTGCTACCTCCTGCTTTAACCAAGTAAAACCTTCTCCCACACAGCACCTTTTTACCTGGAGCTGTTGCAAGTTAAAAACAGAGAGAGAACAGTCTGTCTTGGCTAGTTTCCTCTCTCCTTAAAAAAAAAAAAGAATAAAAGTAAAGCGAGAGGGGATGTAAGACTCTCCAGCCCCACAGCCTCATGTGTTTTTAATCTGTCAGTGTGTATAAAGGCATTTTCTAAGGGTGCCTAGTAAATCTGGTGTTTTGCAGGACTTACTTATAAAAGGGAATGTTTCCCTTTCTGGTATCACATGGTTGCAGGTGCAGAGAGATTTTCAACATGAGATTAAACTAAAATGCATTTATTGTTAGAATTGTAGTGGAAGGCCGAACAAATCAGCTAATTAAAGATATCGGTGGTTTGGGGGCTTTTTTGTTTGTGCTATTCTTTGCTTGCATATAATACCCACGCAGCTCACAGCTTGACAGAGAAGCCAGACTGGAAAAGCAGGTTTTTCCCCTTGAGCAGGAGTTATTCTAGCTCTTTCTGAGTCGGGCGTCACTTGATTTTCTTGGTCCTAAGATCATGACACTAACCACAGTTTTCAGTATAACGGTTTTCCTTTGTGTCCCTTCAGTATGGTTACCAAACAGCATGATGTCCTAACTCTCCACTTTTTCTTTAACATGTGTTACAAAATAAACAATACCAGTCATTCGTTTGTAGAGAGCATCATGGGAATGCTATGCAGCCCTCTGTTAAGGATAACAGTGGCAGCCACGGCTCTCCGATCAGTGGGAAGCTGGAAGGCATCTTCTTCAGCTGCAACACCGAGTTTAACACCGGGAAGCCACCACAAGATTCACCCTATGGAAGATACAGGTTTGAGATTGCAGCTGAAAAACTCTTCAACCCAAATACTAACTTGTACTTTGGAGACTTCTACTGCATGTACACAGCCTACCACTACGTCATTCTCGTTATCGCCCCCGTTGGATCACCAGGAGATGAATTCTGTAAGCAGCGCCTCCCTCAACTAAATATAAAAGATAATAAATTTCTAACCTGCGACGAAGAAGACGGTGTTATGGTTTACCATCATGCCCAGGATGTTATTTTGGAAGTAATTTACACTGATCCTGTGGATCTCTCCCTCGGCACAGTTGCAGAAATTACTGGTCACCAACTAATGAGCTTGTCTACTGCAAATGCAAAGAAAGATCCCAGCTGCAAGACCTGCAACATCAGTGTTGGACGTTAAAACTTCCCTCGTTACTTAGGAGCCTTCAAACCTCTGTTGCCCATTTCCATAGTCAGACATTTTTGTCAGAAGCATGCACATGCCGCTGTCACCAAAAGCAAACACGAGTCTCCAAAATCTCCGATAGCGTTTTTAGTATTTCTTCTCTCCCCCTTTCCCTTCTGTTCCCCCGATGCTTTAAATGATTAGAAGTCCTGGATTTCTTTCTGGCAACCACTTATACCTAGATGCTGCAAAAATTGTTTTCTGTTTCTTGCCAAACATAACAAAATCCTATATAAACTGCTTTAGCAAAATAAAAATAACAGCTTGTAAATGGTGTTTAAATATGCATTCATTTTAACTACTGAACAAATACTGGGATAACTCCAAACAGCATGAAAGGTTGTAATTGCAGCATGATTTAAATTTCAGAGCCTAGAAATGTCAGCACTTCCAACGTGTTGTTTGACAGTGTTATTTATGTTATTTATATTAGCTAACTGAAAACAGAAACTGTGTCTCGACATAATAAATATAATAGAAAAATATTTTATTTGTACTGTTGTATAAAATATTATACAATCATATAGAATATATAGGTTACATTTTAATATCAATTGTATACATATGTCATGAAATCATTTTCCCTTATCAAAGATGTAGTTTGTAAACTTTAAATAGCTCTGTATCTGTTCCTGTTGCTCTAGATGACTTTAATTAAAACAGATTTACGAAGGAGACCATTTCTGATTCATAAAAGTTAAGTTATAAATTATTAAGTCAGTACACTGAAACAACAAACCTCTGAGAAATAAAAAATTCCTTTTTTAGTGTTCATACTTTTTCCTCCAAACTACTTGAAAATGTGTACGTCTTCAAAATCATGCCGAGCTATTACATACAATACAAATACAAACATGGTTGGTACATAATAGGCTTTATAAAATGAAAATCTTCTTACCAAGATAGAAAACAGGTTGCTTATACTATGTGGTCAGTACAAAATGACAGTTAAAGCAAAACACTAAACATGAGTCAACTTAACTCAAGTCCCCCACACACCTTTTTTTTTTTTTTTTTTTTAATTCTTCTTTCCTTTATGTCTGGGCGAGGTACTTCCCAGAATCCCTGCTTTTCGTTTCTAGTACAAAACCCACTGATAAGCCTTCTGTTAATAGCCCACTTTTCACACAGATGATCTATCACAAATAGGGAAAAAAATCTCCTTAATATTTCAAAGTGTGTTGCTCTGAAAGTTAAGAAAGATGCATAAATCCAATGGAAAAATATTTTTTTTATAATCTTATATTTAGTAAACAAGAAGTCTAGCGTTCCTCATCAGATGACTGTGACACTCAATTATATACCATGTACTTTATCTATCCAAAATATCTTAGCATAATGCAATAATCTAGTCTTGTTTTAATATATATGTGGCAATTTATAACACAAGAAATACTTCGACATTTTACAAAGTGCATGCGTCTAAACGAGCTTTGGTAGTTAGAAAAGCAAATGTTATAGCATCAGGCAAAATAAAGTGCAAAGTTTAATACAGAAATAAAAATCAGCATGTAGTTGATCTATTTACTGAATTTTAAGTACCGTGAGCCCGGTCCTGTGAACCATAGTGAAAAGGACAGCCGTCAGTACATTTGTTTTCTCTCTCCCCAGTAAACTCTATCTAGTTCATTTTGCCAAACACGTTCTCTTATTTCTAAAAAAACCAATAGTTCCATTTGGCAGTCATGTTCCGTCCTTTTTTTTTTTTTTTTTTTTTTGCATAGGCAGCATCACTTTGCTCTACTCATAGAATTTTAGACCAAATCCTGGCACTGGTTCTTTGTATGCACCTTTCTTTGAAGCTACTAGAATTGAATGGCAACTCTGTCTTGAAAGATAGAGTACGTTCATGAGTTTTTCCTTCATTTGTTTTAAGCTTATGTTTCTTTTCATCTACTGAATCGGCACACTGAGAACCGACATTAATAGTTAATTATAGTGCATGTTAATTCTGGAAAGAAATGTGTGGTACATTATCATGTACTAAAAACCTAGAGAGAATTTCCTCACACTTTTTAAAACTAAGAGCAGGTCAAACTGAGGATCTACAATACTTCAGTGTCCTTCTAATTTCTAACATTCTCACAGTGCACTTCAGGGCTTTTTCAAAAGGAAAAAGTACATACTACAGTCCACTCACCCGTGCTTAATATTCTTGTGTATTGCTGTCCTCTCTCATCCCAGCTAGTATAATTGGTAAAGTGCATCAAAAATCTCAGCGTGTCAAATAATTGTGCAGCAGACCAAGACCTGTAAAATTACTTCTTTTTCATTACTTGTTTGTTTGCTTGTTTTTTTGCTAGAGAACAATATCATGGCATCGCATTCACTTCAAAGCGTTTTGGAAATATCATGCTTACTGATGAGAACCTCCAAGAGCCTGATCTTGGCTTTTGTGTGCTTGTATTCGGAGTATTCCTCGGCCATTGGCACCCGATCTTCTTTTTGAGGACTCCTATGAAAAGCAAATAAATGTACCATCACTTTTATGAGTAAGAAGAGAAACAGCCTCTAAAATTAATTCTGCAACAACTAATGAGGATAGGGTTGGATTGTTTTTCTTTCCTAACGGTAGGTGACTAAAGATAATTTGACAGGACCAAAAAGCTCTAATAGATAGAAATGAAATAATAGTATTTAGAATACTGAATTTTCATATACCAGGTAATTTTCTTTCTTGTCAGCTATGCAAGCATAACTACTTCATGCTCAAATATGCAGAGAAGTTATTACATAGTGCTTTGAAAACTATTACCAGAATACTACATGCCCATATCCTCTGCGGTTTTCAGCAAACAAGTTTGCTAAGTGAAGGGAGGAGGATAAACGAAGAGTGAAAAGTAGGCAGTATTTATCTATGGGTGAAAGAAACAGTGGCTTCTGTTTTTACATCTGGCCTTTTAAAAATGGCCCAACTGCCAAGTGTAATCCCTGCAGATTTACATCCTCGGAAGGACTCTTTAGCAGCCTCCCTTCAGCTCAGGAAAGGTCCTGTGCCGAGGCAGGGTTTATACCCATTGGAGGCACGGCCCGGAAGATCCCCAGATCCAGACCGTCCTCAGGCATGCCCGCATCCCGGAGGAGCTAAGCAGGGAGATGGACATCTCCACAGAGACCAGACACCTCCATGGTATCTTCCAGTCCCTAGCTGCAGCTTCTTTCGCCTGCTCACCTAAGAGTACCCACCCTAGCAGAAACAAACACGTTTGCATAGGAGCCCAAAGGGCAGAAGGAGAGGGCTTTTGTTGAGCTGGTTATTTACCTTCCTGTCTGTTTATAGAATTGTTCCTCAAACTCTCTGAGAGCTTTGCGAAGCCTTTTCTTATCTGCTCTTGTTTCTCTGAGATGTTCAAGCAGAACGGGCCTGTAAAACAGAGACAAGAACATGAAACCCCCATGTGCTTGGAAGTATTGTAAAAGCCGTGGCTTTGGGTAATAAGCAGCCTGCTGCTATGGGCCACGGCAGGCACTGATCTCAGTGCCCCGAGACATTCCACCACATCCCTCCAACTACGGATATAACTGGCTGTACCATCACACGTGATAAACAGTTGCGCTCCTTCCCTTTTACTAGTATTCTCACCCTTCTAATAAAGTGAAGGCAGAGACTTTATGGACAATATGGGAGGAAAAGCTTTCAGGATTGAGTCTCGCTAGCGGTCTTAATTCTGTGTGGAATTAATGGAGTTGACAGGGCTCAGCATCTCACAGGAAATACTTTGCATTTCTGTAACTGAATTAATAAAGTCAACATCCAAGCCCTACTCTTAAAAGCAGCTGTTAACAAACATTACTGTGATGCAGTGGAAATGCTAGTGGTACCCAGAATCAACATTTTTTGGAGGCCATGTTTTAGCTGGTATTTGAAGAATAAGGTTTTTAAGCAGAGAAAGGTTTCGTTATGACATAAGCAGTTGGTTGTTTTTTTGTTTTTTTTTTTACATAATAACAAAATGCAGAGAAATATCTTCACAGTGTTTCTGAGCAAACTATTGCATACACAGCTGAGTTACATAGAAACCCAAGACATTTTTAATTTACTCTCAATTTTGGTAGAGCCTAGTCAACTTCATTTATGCATCTAAGAGCTTCCAATCAAAACACAAGAAAAAGATACCGTCCCATAAGCTATGAGAACACATCTGTTCCTGAAATCATATTCTTCAACAAGTTTCAGGGTTGAGTGAGAACAGCCCATGTGCATCTTGAGATTTGTTGTCTCATGCAACCAGAAATTCTTAACTACAAATCAGGAGGAGGGCTTTATTTTGGCTTTATAATGGAGAGCAGGAGGGTGATGTTAAGTTTTCCGGGCATCCAGACACTAACAACTATTCTTACGCAAGGAAGAAATGGATTTTACATGTATTCAGTGGCCTCCCATGTGACCACGTATTGTGTGATATTTCACTCAGCTCACCTGTTGCTGTTTATATGCCTCATGTCTCTGGCATTTTTACATCACACAGTCAATCCCAGTACACACACGCACAGGAGCAGACTATCCTGCTTGGCTGAACTGTGCTTTGTTTTATGACTGCTTTGTAAGAACATAAGTAGTTAGATATCTAAAAATTTTGCAGCAATTATCAATAGGTCTGCGTATCTTTACTATGCCATTATGTCGTAGCTACCACTCTGTATACGTAGTTATTTCTCCTATCTGCTTACATTCCTTCACCTTTCTCTTCATGGACTTGGCACAAAGTTGTTTGAATAAATAACTCAAACCACAGGTATGCTGCCCAAACAACAACTATCCTCTGCCTCTTTTCTCCAATAAGAAAACACACTTCTTCGGTATAGAATATTCCCATGCAATAAGTATGGATCGTGTTTCATTTGCAAAGTCTATGTGAAATATTTTAAAACAGTCAGAATAAAAAAGACAGAACTTACATTGTTGCCTCATGTAAATTGGACATAGACAAGGCTGTTTGCCTGAAAACTTTCTTTTCATCCAGAGGTGAAACATATGCAGGCTCACTCTCCTCCTGAGAGTAACACAGGTACTCATCAACAGGGAGGCAAGATATTGGACTGGACGATAACTCATGGCTGCTTTGAGAATGGTCTTCATCTGAGTCTTCCTCCTCCTGCTTGTAAAGTGTAAAGCATTATTAAATCAGTTATTTCCATTACAATACTAATTAATAGGACAACAACATAAACAATTGGGATCTAACCTCCTGGATGTATTCACTGAAATACATTACACATATTGAAAGTTTTACCTAGGTCTACCTGAGACTGTTCACGAGAGGTCTCGTCAGGCCCAGTGAGTTACTGTGTATTGTCCACCATGACTAAGCAGGACAGAAGTTGGCCCTGCTTCTGAGTATCTTCAGCCAGCAATTTATTTCTGTCTACTCAAAAGCCTTTATAAGTAGCAAAGATTTAAAGAACATTCTGTATTTATGGAAGCAGTGCAGTCTTGCTGGAACGTGTACTCCTCATATACCATCTACTGTTTGTATTATGTCCAGAAATTCTGACTGTAACGAGTTGGAGGTAGAGATTCAACAGTTTTATAGCTACAAATGTTAACTACCAGAATAGAGTGATGTTGCTGTCTTCCTCACGTTCCTTCATCCTCAGAAGAAAAGTTGAGCTTTTGAAACTAAGACTTAAAACATAAAAACTCCACGGAGCAAAGCTCCTAAGAAGTAACACAAGGGAACTTCAGCTAAATTTTTAAATAAAATATCTGTGTGCATGTGTACAAAGATTTTTCAAAGAAATCTAAAGCTCCACTGTCATCTAACAAGACAATGATTCATAATTTTTAAAATCAACCCAGCCCCAATTACTATTAGATGATTAGTATTTTTGATAGAGACATGCTAATTAACTTCCAAATAGCCAGATTCCACTACCTCTACTCACAGAGAGACCAGTACTGGTACATTACATTGATACATTATTAAGTAAAGTATGACAAATGATATTTTTGTGCTACATGATTGATAAAAGCATTGTCAACAAAATACAGAAGATGATATAGATAACATATAGTGACAGTGTAGTGCTTCATGGAAAGAGATAGGTTTCATTCTGTGTTGCATGTTGGCCATGTTAGACAACCAATGCCAGCCTCTGATGTCTTACCCAGTCATTTGAAGTGATGGCCTCAGAAACTGCTGCCATACCACCTCTGGCATGCTTAGAAGTTGAATTATACAGAGCATTTGCTCTATTTGAAATATGAACACCCTGTATTAACCAATGAGCAGGTTCTTGAAATATCAGTAGTTCTATTGCTGCCAAACTGACATACAGGTTCAAATCAAACACAGCATTTAGTACATTTTCTTGACAATGGATATGAATTCTTTCCAACTTACAATTGTTGTGATCAAAGATGGAGTTGCAAGAAGTTTCTTGATAATTCTGTATCTGTCGTAAAGAGGTTTCATGAGACTCTTTTCTTGCTTAGTTACCTAAAGAGAAATCATAAAAAAATATACTCCTCCAAAATTAAAAATAAATAAATAAATACGTTTCTCATTTGCTCCTGTAAAGCTAGAAAGATATTAGAAGAGTACAACCTGATGTGTATTTTGCTTCCATAGATATTCCATGGGAACTGTATTTTAATCCATACAATTTCTAAAAAGGAAAATGGCAATCTGTTTTCTAATGGAAAATACCCAATGCGGATTCCTCACTTCCTTGAGCCACACCGCCCAGGCAGAGGGTAAACTATTGTCTGTCTGTTTCTGAGGATGCTAATAGAGTTGTAAGAGTTAAGATATGCTTCTACTGTGCATTGCATTGATAGCTCGCTTACTTAACTGTAATAATGGCAACAGACTAGCTACAGTAATGTGACAGTTTGCCTGGGCCAATATACTCAGCAGCCGAGTGGGATGGAGAGCACCGAGAATACAGCTTCACAGCCTCAGTGAGTGAGCTGGCTCCGTGCAGAATTGCTCTGTGCATCCCTCCCTGGAACTGCCTTCCACAATCGGGATTAACCGTCTGTTCATTTAGTTTGCCCCTGCTCTTTTATGAGCACTAGGAGCATTGATTTGGAGGAGAACATTATTTTAGATCAGGTATTAAGAGCCTGATCCAGCCACAAATAGTTGTAAATACAAAAATAAAACCTTACGGAAACTAGCTGTGCAGTAGACCGACTTACTATATTAAGGAAAAAAAGACCAAATCCCACAAGGAAAAAAAAACCCAAACCCGAAAAACACCATGTTCCCCAGTGATTAAATGTCAAAATAGAGTCATTTGCAAACTAGTCCACCATCAGACTCTGCTCCTCGACTTACATGCCTAGCAGCACCCACTGGGTACACTTTCACTGTCTTTTGGCACTGCAACTGCGCTACTGCATTGAAGCCCAGCTACACACGCTCGGATGAGTGAACACGCGGCAGGTTTGAAGAGACACAGGCTGACTCACAGAACGGACAATAGTCCAGAGTTGCTCAGAAACAGACAAACACCTGGTCTTCAGGAGTAAGGGTGGCAGTAGACAAACGCAGGTTGATGACGCTGGATATGTCTGGCTGATTGAGTAGTTCGGGACTATTTCTAGAGGCGTGCTTCACTGCAGAATGTCAGGGCTTGCCTATCCCAGCTAGCCCACTTCTATGCCCCAGTCTTCATGTGCCATTTGGTTGCAACACATAAGAGCTCCGGGAATGCCAAACAAGCCAGAATAGATCGTTTTCTGTTTTAAACCAAGTCAGAGCCCTCTCTGCCTGACTTTGCTCAGGTAAGTCTGAATAAGATGGTGCTCATCCGTACTATACATCAGCAGGGCAAACGTTGTCACCAGTGCTCTCCACTGTGTTTCAAGGCCGCTGTATTCATAATACTCTGAATATGCAGCAACTTGATAATTTTTTTCTAATGGGTTCACTCTTTGTACTCCCAAAGGAGGTTTCTACAATAACTATGACATTGTCTAGGACTGAATTTTGCTATTTGCTCAAAAAGAAGAAAAAAAAACCCAAACCCAAAAGACCACAACAGACCACCAAAGCTTTTGCATAATAGGCTAAAGTTATTATTATTTTCTTGGAATCCCAGTACACGCCATTCAAATGAACCTTTTGATAATGTTAGGGTGTGATATGTGTTAAATGACAAGGCATGTCATGGGTTGCTAGTTCAAACATCTAAAGTAAGGAATCTTGAGGCTTCGGCAGTCAACATTCAAATATTGTGAAAATGCATTTTCTGCACTGGGACACCTCTGCTAGCAGAGAGGCACCTGTTTTGTTGGCTAGTGTCACCGGAGTGCCTCTGCCTGGGCAGTCACCGATTTGCCTTCTCCAAGTCATCACCTCCCGGCTTTTACAAACTGCGTGAGCTTCCCCAGCAGATCTCTCCTTCCTGGGCCCCTCCAGCTCTGAACTGGGTGCAGCGCCTGTGCTTGCCACTGAGCTTGGGCCTTGCTGGCCTCACTCTCCAGCTGTTCTTAGTGCCCAGGATGCATGCAGACCCCTTCCCCTCAGGAAAATACATTGATATAGATACAAAGATTAAAATTTGCATCTCTAAGATACATGATTATTTAAGTATGCAACTGTAACTCTGTGGAGTGCCTCCAGATTGCTTGTTTATTTTCAACAACGAAAAAAGGTGTAAAAATCTTGCCTAACTTCCATTTCCCTGCTTTAAATTCTTGACTGTCCCTGAGCTTTCTGCGGCCTGAACTCAGAGCTGTTTGGCAGACCTAGGATTCCCTCATGGCTGCTTAGTATCACTGATCTTATGCAGTTAGCATCCTCTTTCTTAGCTGGTTACAGAGCTGCTTCAACCTTGAGAAGAAATGCCTTCACTGAACCCCATGCTACAAAGCATGCCCTATTATTCTCTTTCCTATCTTTGAATCTTCAAGTCTCTTTTACCTCTATATAGCACTAATAACTCTTTTGTTCTCCTCCTTAGGAAATACAATTTCTTCATACCCTTCCTATATAGTCTGTCCATCCCTCAGTTCTCATTCCAAGCCCAAAGAAGATGGACAAAAATGATTTTATCCAAGAAGCAGAAAGATCAGATTCAGATCATAATAATTTTAAGAGCTGGCGTATTTTTGGACATGTGCTGGTGCCGCTCCCCTTTTCCTCTACCACAATTACTAGCCAGAAACAGAGACAGTCATAAGAATACAGACATAGACAGCAAACAGGAATTCCTCAGCTGTGTATAGACAAATTTTCAAATCGTCATCTCGCCAATGGTGGCCATTTTTTGTTTTGTACCTACCTTCAGCAATGATATCCCTTGAAAGTATTTTAATTAACAGTTTTAAGTGCTGCTGTGAAATAAAGGAAAACACAGATGACGAGTCATGTCATTTTTGTATTTCATGTCTCAGATGGTGCCCTATAAACCTTCCTCAGCTGCTAAGCATTCTGACCTTTCATACATCATAGCACAGCTGCAGTATGCATGAGCCAAGTCTGCTGTGGATATATAATCCTCACCTTTATCATCAAAACCTGCAACTGCCAATCATGAAGAGAGATGCAGGGCCACTAGAAACTTGCCTTTTTCTTTTATTTTTAAAAATATAAACCAAATTCATCATTATCAGGTAATAACATTTATACCTGAAGATTAGTTTGAAATAACTAAAATAATGTTAATCATGTAAAATTAATCTAAATATATTTAATGTATGAGTCCGAAAATACTTGTTAGAGAAGTTAGATAATTTTTAATTTACCTGTCTTTCCATGGTATACTTACAGGTCATCCATGAATACTCTCAAAATATAGTAGACATTTCTGAAGATTGATTTTTTCCAAAGCCATTTGCTTTTTTGTCATATCCTATTTAAAAACGTTATTTTTAAGATTACGAGTCAGGATTTCATGGCAAGGGTACAGGTAGGTGTCTGTTTAATAATCTGTTCTCCCCAGATAAACATTAATAACGAATTCCGTTCCTGTCCACACTGAGGTCAATGGGAACTTGGCGTTGACTTAGCAAGAACAGAGTCCAAATTTACATGACTGAAGTTTTAAGTGAATCAAAGTACATGTCACCCTCTCAAGGCCTAATGCAAAGCTGATGAGAGCTAGGAGATACTTCTACTGATTAGAGCAGGTGTTAGGTTAGGCCTTTACTGGTGGAAAATACACTCTATTATTTACTTTGTCTGGCCAGACTGGAGTCTTTGTGGCCTGAACTTGTGCTCGCTCTTCTGGAGAAAGATGCAGAAATCAAAATGTATTGAAAGGCTAGAATCTTATTTTTCTTCGTGTCATTATATAAAGATCTAATACTTGATTGCCTTGATTTCTTTCACAATCACTATTCTACGAAAGCGATTTAACAAGCTTAACGCCAGGAAGTGGTATTAGGCTATTGACAGGACACTGCATCCTTATCTGGAAAGTTTCCAAGGGTACAAACTGTGGTCTTGGTCAATAAGGCAAGAATCTTCGTGTGTTACTCGATCAGAGCCTGCATCTGAAAAATTTTTCTGGGAATACCGGTTGACAGAAAGTCTAAACAAGCAGAGGTTTTTGCTTGAATATCACAGCCAAATTGCATGGGCACGGCGTATTTCTCATGGGTCATGGAAAGGCGGGCTCACAAAAGATGACTGCAGCATCTGAGTAGAAGGTGTTGGCATTGAGTCCCACAGATATCAGTGCAGTACTTTCCTAGAACATTTTCCAATGTTTAGGTAACATTTATGAATAGTTGTTGTAACTGAAAAACTAAAGAAATACTTCTTTTCATCCATTCTAGGGAGAAATCAATTCATGAGATCTGGACAGTATTAACTTCTATTTGCCAGATCAGTTCATAAATCATAGATAGCATTCCCCATTATATGTTAAATATGATTTAGTTGTAATAAATGAGAACAACAACTGTTCTAAACAAAATACTCAGAAACTTGCAAAAATGCAGAGAGGACATATTCCTCAACTTTTTCATTATTCATCAAGAAAAATAGATTTGCCTTGACTGGTAAGGGATGAAGAACAGAAAGCTTCAGCTGTGCAAACACAACACATTTATGGAGTGGAATGATGATAGATTCACAATGAAATCCCTAAATATCCAATCATTGTGATACCATGGTTAACACCCCATACATGCTGAGCATACTAGAAAAAGGTGCTATCTCTAAAATGAAATGGAAGAACAATCTGATCAGCCAGCAGGAAACTGCGGCCAGACGGTATGCAGCTGTAGAACCGCTATGGGGAAGCTGCAGAAAGTGCAGCCCTTTACTAACAATGGGAATGGAAGTGGGCTTTCTTCCTCAGTCACGGTTCTTGCTCTGCTGGGCTGAACACCTAACACTAGCAGTTTATTTCTGTTCAAAAATCACAATATGAATCACTGGTACCAGGAAGATGAATGTTGATTTTTCAACAATGCGATTTGTCAGTGTTGGTGATACACCAATATATGTCCAGGTGTCTGCTGCAGAAAGCAAACTATTTA